GTGGATCAATTCTGTGCTGAGAACAGGGCAAGAGAATGATCAGGGCACAAGCACAGCTCAGAGCACCTGGTCCACTCTGCTTGGAGCTGTGGTGAGGGGGGAGTTAGGGGAGATTATGGGAGGAGAAGGTCCTGGGTTTAATCCTTACTACAACAATGTGGAAAAGCAAAAAGGAGTGGATACAGATCTATGGATCCGGGACTCAGAGGACCAGGGGTCATGTCTGTTGGTAGGCGAGACTGGTATGAAGGGACACAAGGGAAATTTCTGGAGTGATAAAACTATTCTGCAGCCTGGTTGGGTATGGACACAGTCAAAACTCATCAAACCCTACACCAGAGATCTGTGCTTTTCATTATGTGAATGATATCTCAATGTATAAGCAAAAATAGTTTACTGAACATTGTAAGGGGCTCAGGGCCTGGCAGTGGGGGGTAGAGGGGATGGCGATGTGCTGGGATCTTTGCGCCCAGAGACCTAGTGCTCAGCAGCTTGCTGCACGGTGCTCCTGTTTGGCTGGACTTCGGGGTGTGAGGCAAGGACCTGAAACCAGGGGTTAGAGCCTTAAATGCCACACCAAGCGTCTAGACATCATCCTTCAAGCCTGAGGGTGAGGGAGGGAAGCCGAGAAGAAACCAGAAGGACCAACAGCAGCAGCAAAGTGAGTGTACCCTCTGCCCTGAAGGGCAGTGGGGGAAAACAGTCATTTCCTACCCCCAGGCTGCACTCAGACAATTCTTCCTCCCTGGGGCCCTAAAGTTTTTGTTGTGACCTGATAGGGAAATCCCCAGGGACTGTTTCCCAGCTGCTAGAGGTGACTGCTGCTCCTCATCCAGCTGCTTCAGGACAGAAGCTCTCTGCTGGTTTTAGCCTCCTAAACCTAAAAGGGATAGCCCATTATGTCCCACCTGCCAGTGTCTAAGGAACGTCTAAATCTTTCTGCATCTGCATTCTACCCTCAAACCTCCACAAGCTTTTCTTAGTGGGTGCTTCAGCTCAGAGCAGGCTCCCTTCCACCTGTCCCCTCCTCTAAACCACACCACCTGTCGTGGCTGCCCAAGCCCTGCTCCCTTACTTTTTAATACTGCAGATCCTCAGATCAGCCCCCTTCCTCCACATCTGTTTCTAACCATAGACAATAGTTCCTTTCATAGTCCCCCTCCCCACCGTGGAGGTCCTTGAGTCAGGGAAGAGCCTTATGAGCTGTTTCCTTACCAACTGGGAATATGGTATCTTCTTAATGAATATTTATTGGTAGATTGATGATTGAATGTGCAGGTTCCAGACCTCCATAGGAATCATGTGTGGGGAATCAGAAATTGAATATTTTCATTTCTTCTCCTCATTTTCAGCAGACAAAGATTCTGTCTAGACTTTTGCTACCTTGGAAAGGGTATTCTGGGGCTGGGATGTCTGAGACAGACACAAAGACAGTGTACCTGGGATGTGGGGGGATGTTTAATGCTGACCCTGGCTTTGTCCAGATGGCTGATGCCCGATGACCCAGCCTGCAGAGCTGGGTCCCCACACCCTGCATTAAAGAGATCACAGCTGCGTTGAGTACTGGACAAAAATGAGGTCAGGTTTTGTCAAAGCCAGCGCAAGCCAGTGCAGCTCAGAAGTGAGTTGAATGGGCTGGATTTACAGCAACTGTCGAGTCATCCATGTTCCTGAAACTGCAGATACAAACCGACCTGCTGGGAAGAGAATTTGGGATAAATTGAGAACTTCAAAAAGTTTCTGCCTGGAAACTGAAGAGGTAACCATGGCAACAGGGAGGCAGGTTGAACCCAGACAGGCTCTTCATCGTTAGCAGGGAGCTTTGTGCTCTCAGATTTGCCCAGCTCTTAATTCCCTTTGTCTCTTCGATTTCTTTGTTGAACAGGAGAAAGTACTAGCTCAGGAATCTGGAGACAGGCCCCTGGTTTCAGCTGTTTCCAGTTCCAGGGCTCTGACTTAGAGGCACCTCAGGCACTGCTTCTTTGTTGTCTGGAAAATGGAAATTTAAAACCTCCTCTGGTCTATTCATAGGGACACAGAAAGGACAGGAAGGTTTGAGGGGATTCGCTGCACAATCAGTACTATTGTTGCCATGCAGCCATGTCTGGGCTGATTTAAACATGGGCTTGACCCATCCATAAACTCAGTTTCATCGCCTGGCGAACAGCTGTCTCACAGACAACACCCACATGTTCGCCTGGCAGCTGCAGAATGGAAGCGTGACTCGGGGCACAAGCAACACCAGGTGAAGCGTAAACCTTCAGCTGACCGACTCCGCCTGGGGAGTCCGGACAAAGGACCCCCGAGAGAAGCCGATGCCCACAGGGCACCCTCTCACACCTGGCTGCACACTGCTGCCCTGCACTGGTCCTCCCTGGGCCTGTGAGGAAGAAAGAAATGCTGGACTGGCAGGACAGGAACACGGTGGGATGCTGGCGTCCAAGAGGAGATGGGACTGCTCTGTGTGGGGCTCTGCTGTCTTGCAGGTTTTGTTCTCACAAAGGAGCCAGGACATTGCAGAGGGCTGTGGCTGGCAATTCAACATGTGCTGGATGACTAACTGGGTCACCTTCCACAGGTCACCTTCCACAGGCTTTGCAAGGAGGGGACCTACTCAACAAACAACCCCTGTGGTCTGATTCAGGCCTCCGTTACCCCCAGCAGACTCAGCAACTAACTCACAAGATGGATTTACCTTTTCTTTTCTTTTCTTTTTTTCCTGTACCAAAATTTTTATTTTTATTTTTTTATTAATTTATTAAGAAACAAATAGTAATGTGACAGCTTTAAAACAGGATGGTAGGACAGTTACAATAATTAATATATTGAATGTTGTTGTCTTCGTAGTAGTTATTCATAGTACAAGACGCAGGCATGGTATCCTGTCCAAATACTGTTAGTACAAATCTTACTTCTCATTGAATTAAGAGAAAATAGTTGTATATCTATCCTAACTATTTTGAATATACAGATACAAAATGGTCCTTCATTTATATCCCCCTCTTTCATTTCTTCCTCTCTCTTCAGCCCTCTGGAGGAGCTCACAGATAGGATGCCTTCTCCCTCTGTCTCTCTTTTCTCACCCTTTGGTTCCAGGAACACAGAGCAAGCCTTTTGAGGACAGCAGCCCTTAGAGGACCATGATGAAGTACAAACCAAGAGGCACAGCCATACTTGCTATTGTTCCTTGTTGCCCAGGATCCCAGTAGCCCTACTAAGTAAAACTGGAAGCTAACATTTATGGACAGTTGCCAGTGTGCTGAGCCCTGCTAAGGCTTAACATGTCCTCGGGTTCCCTCCTTGGGTCAGAGGCCTTCCCTCCTGTCTGGTATCTGCTGTAGGCTCTCTCCAGGAGCTGCTCTTGAGAGAGCACACTTGGCTGGTACCAGGCAGTCTTGAGGTAGCCACGTCCAAGAGGGTTTGTGTGTGTGTGTGTGTGTGTGTGTGTGTGTGTGTGTGTGTGTGTGTTTTTCGGGAACTGGGAATTGAACTCAGGCCTTTGTGCTTGCCAGGCAAGCACTTATTCTACTGAGCCATCTCCCCAGCCCCTCAAGAGGGTTTTTATAGGGTACCAATGTGCAGTCCCCTTGCCCCAGTGGTAGTTCTGAATGGCCAGCAGAGCTGCAGAGCATGTCCTGGGCCAGCTGGGGGTCCCTCCAGCAGCAGTGTCCACTGCTCCACCAGCCCAACCCTGCTTTCTTCCCTCCCACTTCCCCACAAGCCTCCCACACGCAAGCTTCTGCCTTAATGCATTTCCTGGGGAACTAAACAAAGAAGTAACTTACTCAGGCCTCTCAACCACTTTATGAGACACCTGCGGTGATGTCTTACAGACGGGAAGACAGGGGTATGAACAGGTTGGGAAGTTTGCCCAGGGTGCCCTGTCAGTCAGGGCAGAGCTGTGGGTGAAACCTGAAAGCCCAGTTCTAAACCTTGTAGTCTTAACCTCCCTTGCAGCTTCTTACTAGTGATTCCAAACTGGGCACCACAGCACACATCTGTAATCCCAGTATTCTAGGAGGCTGAGGCAGGGGCACTGGAGGTCTAAGTTCAGCCTGAGTGATTTAGCTTGGGTGACCCTGCACAGGAAAAAGAAAACAAACAAACAAACAAAGAAAACCAACAAAACTGCAACTCTAAAGAGAACTGAGGGTCAACGGGTGCCGCCGTAATACCTTTGTGGGAGGGTGAGGAGAGGCGGGGTATCTCACAGATGGGGAGACCAGCAAGTGACTGCGCAGCCCCCATCACTGACCAGTTATGGAGCAGTAGGATTATTTATTTATTTTGATTGGGAAGAGCATGGTTAACTTATCTGAAGTCTAAATTCCGGCACCACTTACAGTGATCTGTTAGCTCTCAGAGTCCCTCTGAAAGTGCGTGGCACACAGTAGGTGTTCCATGAAGCGCACCCTCCCCACGCGTCTGCTGCCTCCAGCTCGGCCCGTGGGCAAATGGCTTTACTCCCTCATCCTGTTTGTTCATCTAGAAAATGGAGATGATGATAGTGATGAAGAGTTTACTCAGCCCGGCGGCCATCGGGGCAGGAACGCGGGGCAGGTAATCATCGGTATCCTCTTGATGCGGCTTTGCCCAGGCTGCACCCTGTGCTTCTGCCCCTCATGACCCAAGAGACTCAGATTTTCCTGTGATCGCCTCCGTGTGCGCCTCCCCGACCTGCCACCTCCACGCGCAGACCTTCCTGACACTGTTGCTTTGCTTTCTTGATTTTACTAGAGGTCGGCGGGTTTTTTCCTACCAAGCTGGTGCACGAGGCTCCGCAGCTCCAAGGAGGGGGAGGAGGAGGAGGGGGCAGCCCCGCCGCGGGCCAGCGCTGCCAATCAAGCCCCGCCCTAGGGGGCTGCGGCCCCGCCTTCTCCCTCAAGGCAGCGCACAAGCGCTCTCCGATTGGTCAGCGGCTCCCAGCCCCGCCCCACCCCCTATGCTCCGAGGGAATAAAAGCCTAGGCAGCGGCGGCCGGCGTGTACAGCTTGCTCTGAGCTCTACTTGTCGATTTAGTCCCCATCCACGAGCCCGCTGGAGCCAGTCACCATCCTTCCCACGACGTGCTGCCCTGCGCCTGCAACCATGTGCCGCACCCTGGCCACCTTCCCCACCACCTGCCTGGAGAGGTAACAGCAGTTCAGCTCCCCGGAGGAAAAAGTCCAAGCCCCACCAACTCTTAGGAAGTGGAGTTGCGGACTTGGGGACTTGGGCAGGGGAGGGAGTGGCTAGCTAGCGACCTGAGTAGGGGCTCAGAGAGCACCACGATGCCAGGAGGGGAAAGGAGAGGTGAGGGAAGCTGAGCTCTGCTGCGTGCCATTCCCACCTTGTGACAACCCGCACTTCTCAGTTCCGCTTAAGACCCTGCCGCAAGATGAGTGTGCTAGCAACTCCAGGCAAAACCGAGGCTGTCTCAGTTTCTTTGGGGCTTGGTTTTCATTCCCCGGCCCAGAGCTAAGGACTTGGCCTCCTTTGCCCCGGGAAGGCAGGAAGATCCATTCTGTGTTTCACCTGTGAGGGTTCTTCGAACTTTCCAGAGAGCTAGTCAGCAGCGTGTAGTCCTTATTAAAACTAGTGGCTGGGAGGAAGAAGGTAAAGATGAAGACAGGGACCAGTTTCCACAGTTCTGGAGATATCCTGGCAAACCTGAGGGATGCTGAGCTCCTATCAGGAGGCACAAAGATAGATCAGTGTGTTTTAAATGGGAAAAATCAATTTATACATGCCGGGCTGTAACCTGGAAAGTGTAAGAACCCCGAGGTACAGCTCATGCTTGTTTTTTTTTTTTTTTTTGTGGAACCGGGGATTGAACTCAGGCCCTTGTGCTTGCCAGGGAAGCGCTTATTCTACTGAGCCATCTCCCCGGCCCTCATGCTTGTTTTTGCTGCTTCATGTTTGATAATGGTAGCAAGAAAAGCACACTTTGGGCCCGGACCCACCAGGGGGTCATGCTGGGTGAGCAGACAGAGAACCAACCCCGCGTGCTTATGATTTGTCTTGCAGAGCCAAAGAGTTCAAGACACGTCTCGGAATCTTTCTTCACAAATCAGACCTGAGTTCTGAGGCTGGCAGTGTTGGCAAATTCGAATGGGGCAGCAAACACAACAAAGAAGGGTAAGCTCTGCCCATCCCAAGGACCCCAGTGGGGAAGGGGCCCTAGAAAGAAAATAGTAGAAGGTCCTAGGACCTGCTAGGTGGACCTGGGAAACCTTTCTCTGAGGCTGTTGTTGCTGTGGCTACTTGGCTCAGGGGTGAGTGGGTAGGTGGTCTTGGGGTTCTAAGTGCACCCCAGGCATGGGTACCACCTACCTGCCAGACTCTCCCATCTGGAGGGCTCCCTGCACGGGTATCCAGAGAGAGAACAGGGCCCAAACCCACTTAAGCCGCTATTAGCAACGCTGCTTCCATCAGCGCATGCGCCTTGCCTCGATCCCTTTCGTAGGACCTTCAGAGCTGCCCTGGGGTGATGGTATCCTCGTGTGAGGCCTGTCTTGCCTTGGAGAGGTGTACACACACAGGCCAGAGGGCTAGGGAAGTAGAAACAATTTTGGACAGAGAAGAGACAGTTTTAGACATACTGACTGAGGCCAAAAGGGTGCCTGGCTTCAGGGTCTGGTTGCTGATTTGTCCTCTAGAAAACAGGGCCACTAACCCTAAATCCAGAGCTAAACTCTTCTAATTCTGAGGATTCAGCTTCAGCAGCCACAGAGCAAGTCTTGCTGTAAATCTTCAGCTTCACATCAGAGTCAGGGCTGGAATTTGTGCTATGATTTTGTGCTGTGGTTTGATTTGTCGATTTGAATTTTTTTAAAAAATCTTCTTTCATTGTTGTTTAGTAGATGCATCACAGAAGACGTCCTGGGGTGGAGAGCGTCCTTCGACTCCTTGCTGAGCAGTAAAAGTGAGTAGGACTGTGTTGTGTCTGCGGCTGGCATGCGCTTGCTCACGTGCTTTAACGCCAGGGAGGCCGAAAACGCGGGGAAAATACTCATAATAGCAATGATAATAGTGGTCCTCTAGTGTGCCAGCCGCTATTCCAAATACAAAGGCAGGCCCTTGTTCAAGAAGATTACATTCTAAAAATAGAGCCATTAACTGCAATTGCAGCCTTTTCTTCTCTTCTCCCCAGCTGTCCCCCGGTCTGACCTGTCTCTCTCTCTTTCCGCCCACCTCAGATGGAGTGGCCGCCTTCCACGCCTTCCTCAAGACGGAATTTAGCGAGGAGAATCTGGAGTTCTGGCTGGCCTGTGAGGAGTTCAAGAAGATCCGATCGGCTGCCAAACTGGCCTCTAGGGCTCACTGCATTTTTGACGAGTTCATCCGCAGCGAAGCCCCTAAAGAGGTCAGTGCCTCACCGTGGCCCACGCAGACCGTCTTGCCCCTTCCCCATGAAGAACCCAGGACAGTGGGAGTGGGCTTCTCACCGGGAGACTGGGCTCCCGTGGCCAGAGACTAGAAAAGCCAGCTCAGTGCAATGGTCAGACATCACCCTTGGACTCAGATGGAGCAGGGTGGGTCAGAGGGCTTTCGCTTTTGTCCTACCCACCTTTGCAAATCAGTTATTTTTAGATCCTCAGTATACTTACCAACTGGATAGTTAAGGTCATTATGGAACGTGGCCCAGCCTCCTGGCTGACCTGTGGTCTGTGGACTGTTTTTTGCAATTCAACCTGCCTTCCTGTTGCCTCTATCTGGGTTTTGAGTTTGATTGAAAATATGGAGCCCCCTACTGGACAAATTAGAGTAATGCCTTCCTGTTGTATCTTACTTTAAGACTGCTTTTATTTACTATTTTATGTTATGTCATAAAAGTTCATTGAACAGAAGTTACTTGTAAGGTGTTGTTATAATCTCAGGGAATATAGTAATGCACATAGCAAAGTCCCTCCACTCATGGGACTTATATTTGAATTGAAAATACCAATACCAATAACCAATGAAATAGATAAGCCAGGTCAGATGATTTATGCTCTGGTACAGCTAAAGCTGACCATGAAAGACAAAGAGTGTGGAGGGCTGCAGTGCGGGGCGTGGAGGCGAGGCCTCCCACAGGACAATGGGGAGTGGACTGTTCACTGGGTGTCACCTAAGTGCAGAGATGAGAACTGAGGGAGGCAAGGACGTGCCGGCAAGGAAGCAGCAAGTGCAGGGGCCTGGCCGGGCATTGTGGGCATTAAAAGGCTCACTCGAGCTGCCAGGACACACAGGCCAGGCAGGTGAGGGCAAAAGAGAGAGACCAGCAGGGCAGCCCTGGGGGTCAGCTAGGAGAGAGCTGGTGGTGACCGAGCAAGGGCTGTAACAGAAGGGGTAAAGGGGGCTGGCTTGGCATCCAGCCTTGGAAACCCTCACTTTAGTTTGAGAGATTGGGAGAGGGACACGAGGTCGGCTGTAGGGACAGTCCTAGCCACCAGGGACTCCAAGTCCCGTGTTCTGTCCACAGTCCCACCTGCCCGCGGGTCCTTTTGCGGCCTCGGGTCACCTGTCTCAGCCCCTCTGCACCCCTGACCCCATGAACACCTCTTTCCACAGGTGAACATTGACCATGAGACCCGGGAGCTGACCAGGACGAACCTGCAGGCGGCCACGGCCACGTGCTTTGACGCAGCACAGGGGAAGACGCGCACCCTCATGGAGAAGGACTCCTACCCACGCTTCCTGAAGTCACCTGCCTACCGGGACCTGGCCGCCCAAGCCTCTGCCACCTCTGCATCCAGCTGCAGCCCGGCTGAGCCCTCACATACCTGAACCTCCAGGGTGGAAAAGAGGCCAGCAGGAAGAGAGGTGGAGTCGCCCCTCCCTGAAGCAGCTGCCCTTGTCTGGGAGGCAGGTTCTTCCCAGCAAGTGCAAGAGGACAGTGGAGGGGAACGGGTCTAGCAGCCTGTGGATACCTGCTCCTTCCAGATACTGTGGGCTGGGTGTCATGTGTGAGAACACCTCTTTCCAGGACTTATAGCTAAGGGCTCTTTGGGGACAAACATGGGGCTATGGCAGTTAACCCTGGCTCTTGGGCTTCCAACTGGGGCAAAGACAGATTCCAGGGAAACTGAAGAGGACAGAGGAGGTCAACCAGAATTTGCCTGGGATCAGTTGACTTGGCTCTCATCTCCCTTTCCCAGTTCCCTGACTGGACTCAGAAGGAGCCCAATTGTGGAATCTTCCTGTTCTGCCTGCTCCCCTATCCCTGTCCCAGGTCACCCTGGGACACCTTGGCTTCTGCTTCTCAATGCTCCTCTGTGTCCCTCACAGTCTTTCCAAAGTCAGCAAGTCTGTGTGGTTCTTGCCCAGAATGACATTTGTATACCTCAAAGACTGAGTGGCCCACGAGCCCCAATAAGGTGCCACCTTGTGCCTGTGGATGCAGCCTGGTGCTCTTGGGTCTGATGTGGAGGCCCCGGCCCTGTGTGTGCAGCAGTTCCACCCATGAGTGGGCCACTGGGCTCTGTGTGCCCTTGGAAGGGAGGCCCAGAGGAAGGGAGCTGAAGCCCTCAGGGGCAGCAGGGAACAAGGGGGACAGGAATCGAAAGAAACACTTCTCTCAGCAGAACCCAGAAGTCCTGCAGAAAACAGACTGTTGTTTTCTGCACGCACGAGAAGAGACAAAGAGATGCCCAAGGTGGGGGTGAACCTCGAGTTTCTCTTCTGTGGATGTGAGGTGTATGCTGGAGCACTGGAAGGGATGGGACAGGGACCATGACAGCCCAGGAGCGCAGAGCCTGAGGCTGCAGCTGTGGAGCAGGCCTGCGTGGAAGGGCCAGGTGGGAGAGTCAGGATCGGGGGCCACCTCAGGCCATGCCAGACAGACATTCTGCTCCAGAGCCAGGATAGGGGCGAGTTCACCTGACAGGCCCCTCTTGCCCCACAAGAGCCAACACTGCCCTCTGCGCCCTTGAACTCCTCTAGGAGAAAAGTATTTAAGTTTAATATGTTGCCAGTATGCCGAGTGTTGTGTATTATTTTTGTTACCATTGTTGTTATTGACTGTCATTATGTATTTTTGGTTACCATTATTGTTCTTATTATTTATTATTATGTTTCATTTTTCCCACTGGAGAATCTCAGCAGGTGTCACTGCCTGACTGTCCCCACCCCACCAGACTCTACCTCTGAATGTGCTGGGAGCCACTTTGGGCCTGTCGGGAGCGCATCACTATGTAGATATTTATTTATTGTTCACCAAGGGAACTGGGTTCCTCCATGTGAGTGATGTATGCAGTCTCTGCCAGCATGTTATATTCTTATAAAATAAAAATAAAACTCAAATGCAACATCTTTGTTTTTTCTATATTTTTAGGGAAGGGTCTACAGAGTGTTCAGGGTCTCACTACTAGATCAGACTCGTAATGATTCTCCTGTTTACAGCCTCCCGAGAGCTGAGATTACAGGCGCGCACCCCCTCAACTGCCATCTCAGCGTAAACCGGGGCAGGGCTGGCATGGCAGGCCCAGGGATTGAACCCCAGCCCCTGCGCTTGCTTGCAGACACTTTAGTCCGCTGAGCTATTTGGCTGGCCCTCACAACATCTTGTCTCTAAGGATGGACAAACGGACTCAGGAAGTGTAGAGAATCACTGGACAGATGGACAGGCTCCCACAACACACCAGACTGTCCACCTGGGACTGGAGGGATCAGAGCAGGGGATAGATGGGTGTTCAAGGTAGCCACCAGGGTGGGGACAACTTGCTTATAGCAGCTGAACCTGCACTTGGCTCTCTGCAGGTTAGATCAGCTCAGTGTGCTGTCATGTCAGCCCACAACCTTTGTCCACCTGATCAGAACTCAGCCCAAGCCATTCCCTACCCTGCCTGTCACAGCACAATGTACCCCCGGGTCAAAGAACCAAACTTATCAAGTAGGTGGTGATTTTTGTAGCTTGCCATTCTTGCCCATGTTCAATTTTCATTAGTGTTCTTTTATAACTTCACTGAAATTCAGGGAATTATTGCTCTCCTAGAATGTCACTGATGTCTGTAATGAAGTAGATGAATTTAATCTATGTACAAGGTTGTTTCATCCATGACTAAGGGCCTGGGAGGGTTGAGCTGGCTTGAAAGAATTTGAGGAGAGGTTTGCAAAGACTAGAATCTCACTGTGTGCCAGCTGCCTACTGTCTTGTCCTGGCAATCCTTCCTACCCACCCCACTCCCACAGTTTAAAAGATTCTTCCTTCTACATGTTGAGTTATCAGTTTATATACAAAGCTGGGCCTTATGTTGCTCTCATTTCTGCCCTAGTGTTAGTTTGAGAAAAGAGTGGGAGCACTTGCCACAGAAATCCCATAGAATCGCATCCTAAACCTAGACCTGGAGGGATTCTCTGGGTGACCCCAGGAGGGATTCTGACATTAAGGGCCTGGGAAGGTGGGAGTTCTGTAGCACCTGCGAGGGGCAGCTGGTGTGCCTGAGAAGGCAGAGGGCGCTGGCCGAGCAGGGAAGGAGGGCAGGGTTCTCCCTTTTTTACTGCTTTCCTTCTGTTGTTTTGCCTTTGAATTGCACATTTATTGAGTGCCTCCTGTATACGTACCTGGGAGAGTCACCCCACCATCAACAGCAAGTGCCCGCACTTCCTGGGAGAGGGGTTTTGGAATGAGCCTAGACAAGGGCACACTGTGTGTCTTTGGGAGTGATATGCATGCTGGGAGGAAGAGGATGGTATAACCCATGAGTGAGAGATATGAACAGCGCTGATGGAGAGCCACGAAGGAGGCTCTCAGTTCAGTTGGGTCGTCCCCCAAGCTTGGGCTCAGGCACTGGCTCCCGTCCTCCGAGCCTACCTTTTTGTAGTGGGTCTTGGGGTCAGTGCTACAGCCTGAAGGTGGCAGGTGAACGTTAGGGACAAAGAAGACTGACTCTTCACGATCTTTCCAGTGCCTGAGTGTCAGACTCCAAGTAACCCCGTGTACTTGGACCTCAGAGAGTTTGAGTGACAGAGGGAAGATCTCACAGCTAGATCGTGATCTCTGCTATCTTCAGACTCACAGGCTCTGTCTCTTCCCCATTCAGCACTGGCTTAACGGACAGCTTGATTCCCCAAAAGAACCCCCAAGCGTCTCAAGCCTGCTGTCCTGCTCCTGTCGCACTTGCCCTGCAAAACACATCTTCAGCATTTCCCAGATCCACCTCATCTCTGCCACTGGGACCACCTCCCCGTTGTGTCTCCCACCCTTGTGACTCCCCAGTGCCATCTTCGTGGCCTAGGCATGTACCTTCAGAGCTATCTTTCCAGGGTCTTTGTGGGGAGGCTTTGGTGGCCCTCGGAGTCCAATTATGGGGCCACTCCTTCATGTTCCACTGCTGCTGATGCTCCCCCAAGTAAGAGACCCACACCAGACCCTCCTATGCCACCCTGCACACTGCCCAGCTTCACCAGAGCGTGCATTTCTATGAGCCGGCCTGGCCACTTCTCAAGGCCTAGTGCATAATAACTGCTGACTGAACAGCCCTGGAGTGAAGGGTTGGCTTGAAATCCATGAAGAGAAAAGTTGTTATTCTCAACTTCCTCCAAGGCTTTTCTTCCTGGACATCCACAGAGCCTCCATAGGTGATGTATTAGAAACAAGGTCCTCCTTGTCCTCCTCCTCCTCCTCCTCCTCCTCCTCGCCCTTCTCCTCCTCATCCTTCTCCTCCTCTTTCTCCTTGGATAGCCTCAGCCTTGAGTCCCTGACCCTGGTGCCTAAAGGCACCGGACCTAGATCAGGCTCCTCCGCCTCTGTGCCTGTCACATGGGTCCCCATCAAATGCAAATAAATCAGGCCAACTTCTCCTCCCCAGCCTCCCTTAGACTTCTACAGGCAAGGCTTACCTCAAGTCTTACCTTTCCAACCTGGGCCACAGCAATGACTTTGTACCTGCTGTCCCCACCCCAGCTGTTCCAGCTCACCCCTGCCGCACCAGTCTCCCAAATAAAGCGCAGAACTGAGCACTTTGGGGCTGTATTAAAGCCTTCATGACTCACTTTTGACCAGAAGATGTAGTCCAGCTCTTACCTGCCTGCAGAGCTCTCGCTGGGCGGAGGGCTCCAGACTTTCCTCCTGCCCAGAGGGCTTTGCTGCTGAGCCCACTCCTCCCGTTTTCTGTGTCTCTGCACATGCTCTTGCCTCTGCTTCCAATGCCCTCTTCCTTCCTCTTTTTAAAGAAAAAAACTGGGAGCTGAGAGGTAAGGAGAATGGGAACATCAAAAATTTAGCAAAAAATGCCCCCTTCTTAGCAGAAGCTTCCCCCATAGAGCTAATCGCCCCCACTTCCGTGATTTTAGACTCACGTTCTTATCTTGGATTTTTTTTTTTTTTTTTTTTTTTTGGAAACCGGGGATTGAACTCAGGTCCTTGCGCTTGCCACGCAAGCGCTTATTCAACTGAGCTATCTCCCCGGCCCCTCGCATTCTTGTCTTGATCGCAGCTCGGAGCACGAGCCTGGGCTCTTGAGGCAACAGGCCAATGCTGCAGCTTAGTAAGGAGAGGGGCAGCAGGGCACAGGAGGGTGGCTCACAGCCCTGGCTGGGACTCCGCCCTTTCACCTTGGGGTCTTATTCAAGCCCAGGTTTGAGTGCCTCATCTATCAAGACAGCCTCAGCATGTGCCATGCCTATGCCTCACAAATACACTAGTAGCTTGTATTTTGCCTGATTTTCCGCCCTTGGCACAAGGTCTTGTACAAGAAAAATTAGTCAAGCCCAGTTTATCAACTAATGAATAAAATAGCAGAATTCAGACTTGAACCCAGGATTCTAACTCAACTTTTTTTCCCTAGTGCCCCTGTCTCAACACAGCGTTGTAGTCTGTGATGTTCAGAGCATCCCAGGGTCTCAGATAAGGACATATGAGGCTGGAGGCAACAGCAAACCCGAGTAGCGCAGGAACACCTGAGTCACTCAAAGCTGCTTGGAAACCGACGCTAGTTGTTTCCCTGACCGCCCTTGGCAAATTCACCTGTCACCCTCTGCTGCCTCCTTGTGGTCAGGATGGGCAACGCATGCTTTTAGGGGAATTGCTTGCTTTTCCTCATTTTGAAAGGTTATTTGAGGTTATATCTAATGTCTGTGATTTGTTTCAGTGTAGCTTTGTTTCTTAATTCATTTTAATAAACATGAAGTTTAGTGAAATTAGAATTATTAATAAATCTGATAATACTGCACAGCAGGTATAGGAGCTAAACCAAGATTTCTTTAGTCCACAGGGCTGAAACTAACTTTGAAACTGAAGCTCTTATGAAAAGAAAAAGGAGTTCAGGGCCTACGAAGTGCTGATCTGATCCCAAGATAGCTCGCTGTCACTGAACACTTTAAATTGGCCCAGTAATTCAAATTGCTTTAAGAAGGAAAAAGAAAGATTGAAAATTAAGTAACTGAGATACGACCCTAACGGTAGGAGGCAGAAGGCATTCAGATACTAGAAGAGGAAGTTTGAGTTCTTATCGCTGAGAAAAGATGTCTCTGGAGTTACAGTATTGGTGATTTCCAAGTTGTGGTTACTAACCTGTATAATGATGGCATTTTTTTCACAGAGAACAATGGTTTTTATTTCAAGTACCTCTCCTAGAAAAAAAAAAAAAAAAAAAAAGTGGCTGTTAGAATGGGAATATTTGACAGAAAATGTTTTAGCAAATATTTTGTAAGAGACAAAATCCTACTGGTTGAGCTGTTTTCTGTCTAGAATAGTGGAGTCACAGAGAAAAAAGGCTGCTGAGCCCAGTAGGCCAGACCAGTCCTCAGAACCTGCGGGTTACTCACAGACACTGTAATTTTAAGTCCCATTTATTCGCTGATATGTAAACTTTTTGTTTTGCTTTGTTTTGTTTTTTGCAGTACCTGGGATTGAATTCAGGACCCTGTGCTTGCTAGGCAAGAGCTTCTTCTACTGAGTTATCTCCCCTGGCCCTGTAAACTTATATTTTTATTTATTTATTTATTTTTTTTGTGGAACCGGGGATTGAACTCAGGCCCTTGCACTTGCTAGGGAAGCACTTATTCCACTGAGCCATCTCCCCGGCCCCCTGTAAACTTATTTTTAAGAGAATAAAAATGAATAAAAAACCATTAGAACAATACAGAATTTCACTAAACAAAAGAATAGGAATTTAAGTATTGCATAATGTTGTCTTCAAAGTAGTTTTTTAGATGACCAGATATAAGCATGTAAAATTGGTTCAAGAAAAGTTCTAAGAAATTAAAAGGGGAAGAAAACAATGTAAGCGATAATTTCTTCTTTCCATAGACCAGCAGAAATCAGCAGTACAATTATCCAAGCTATCATATATATCTGCCTCA